ATATAGAGTCTTGTCAAGGAGCCATGTTCAAAAATTTTGTTTATGCATTCAATGTTGTCCATAGTTAAAGAATTCGAAAGATTAGCTAATTCGATCATTCGGCTCTTGATTTTCAAACAATTACCGTTTGCGATGCTCACACAGGAAAGTTCTGGAAGAATTTCTTAGTCTTTCTTCAAATTTTCATTCTTTTCATTTCATTTTCTTCATTTTTTTTTCAATTTGATTTATACTGTAAACTAAATTAATTTATCCCATTTTGTCTTCACTCTTGTTATGTGCTTCCAGCTACTGATGGAAACGATCCAACACCGACATGGGCTCCGTCTGATTCGTGCACAACTGATTCATTTGCGAATATCAAAGTTCCTCCGGTGCTCAATGCATCTGATCAGACATACGTAAGTTTTCTGCTATCCTTCAGACTGCACTACTTACGACACCATAAAGAAATTTTAGGTCCAGCGTGATTGTGGCATTGCGGTAATTTTGGACTTGGATAGGACGTATACCTCTGTCGACGATTTCGCTAATGTTCGCTTTTTTATTCGGGACACAATCGCCGCATGCATGTCGAGAGGCATAGGCTACCGTACCTATATCTACCCTATGTTTAACTCTGTGGGTTTTCTATACTTTGCGACTTGGGATTGATTGAGTATCAAAAGTATCCAGTCTATCTCAGACGAGGGCATGAAAGAGAAAAAGTTATAGTAGCAGATAAAAGACCGAAATAGCAATTTTACTCCAATGTTGTGTTGGCATCAATTAAAACTATTTTATTTAGTCAATCCAAACAGTGTGCTGTGCAACAGATGTGTGTAGCCAACAAATTGGACTTATGGACTATTGGGACTATGTGGTTAACTTCGAAACTTTGGCCCCTGTTCAGAATGAAACACAACAGGCCAACTTCACTTATTCACTTGTTGATTTGGTAAGTTTCTCTGGTTTTAGTAAAAGCCTGCACGTGGTAGCTCTTCAGTTCCACAAGTCACACTTGTGCTCAATAAGCGGATGAATCAAAGTGATCAAAACTATAGGTTATTGAAAATTTATTTAGATGAAGCAGTTTGCACAACCAAAAACAAAGTGCCTATACAACACAATCGTGCTGTTAACGAACAGGATTTTTGTAACAAATCAGACCGTGCTCGGAAAGGTCAGTGCAAATCCCCTTAATATTTTCTGCAGCATAATTCAGATTTTATCACGCTGTTGTCATTTTAGCTTCTCCTCCTTCAGCTTTGGCTCAATACCATGCAGTATATCCCTTCGTTGCATACATTTTCTTTACATAAGATATGCGTTTGTGTGCACTTTCTGGGGTTTTTGCAGGACATCTCAAACATCGTCAACTATGGATGTATCACATTCACGGTAATAGCTCTTGGAAATGTTGGAATCAGCCAGGAGATGATGTTCGATTATTATTCCACTTACACGCAGCGGTTATTCGTTGTTCCTGGTTATAATTGCATCACCAATCTTGACGTAAGTGGAGCTTTATGATGGTACAAATTTATCTTTCAAAATCATTAGGTTAATGAGGATATACCTTCGCTTTGACACGGTAATAGAATCCGTGTACTGATTATACTAATATTTAGTTGAAATTTTTGTGGAACTTTAAGCCTTTTACCCCAATCTTATATATAAAGCTGAATGTCTGTTTGTCTGT